GAACCGCTCGTAGGTGCGTGGTATTGTGCTAAGCATTGCAGAGTTGAGTACAGATGGGCACAGCCAGGTCTCATGCCACCCTCCGGAGGGGCGGGCTTATCACGTGAATCGCGGTGACGTTACACCCGGGCTAAGTGCTGTCAAGGAGAGGTGTGAGAACTCACAGTGAGAATTTGACCTGGTCAGGGAAGCCTGGCCTGGGTAGGAGGTAGGTTAGGAAGGCTTTCCTTACAGCTGCATGACTTTGGGCCAGTTACTGCAACTCTTTGTGCCTCAGTTTCCTCATCTGTTAAATGAGGATGATAACAGCACCTAAGATTTAGGGTTTTGGTTGTATTTAGTACCAGTCTTAAATGAGTTAACTTGTAATGTGCTTAGGATGGTGCCTGACATATAGTAAACTCTGCTTGAGAGGGTTTCTTTAAATTAATTCATTAATTTTTATTTTTGGCTGCGTTGGGTCTTCGTTGCTGTGCACGGCCTTTCTCTAGTTGTGGCGAGCAGGGGCTACTCTTGGTTGCGGTGCATGGGCTTCTCATTGCAGTGGCTTCTCTTGTTGCGGAGCACAGGCTCTAGGTGTGCAGGCTTCAGTAATTGTGGCACGTGGGCTCTAGAGCACAGGCTCAGTAGCTGTGGCTCACAGGCTTAGTTGCTTTGTGGCATGTGGGATCTTCCTGGACCAGGGCACGGACCCGTGTCCCCTGCATTGGCAGGTGGATTCTTAACCACTGCACCACCAGGGAAGTCCCTGCTTGAGGGTTTGTTAACTGAACAAAGGGATGCTTGAGGTGAGAGCTGAAGAATGCCTCGGAGCATTACCTAGATGAGGAGGTGAGGGTCTGTTCCAGGCTCAGGGAGCAGCTAAGCCTAGGGCAGGGGCTGGGGCCGGCCTGGTGGGGCTGAGAGGGAGATGTGCGCCCCGGGTGAGGCAGCAGAGGCCGGGCTGCATGGGCTTTGTGCGCTGTGTGGAAGAGTTTGTCTGCTAAGCATGGTGAGAAGTGATTAAGACCTAAATCCATGGCATGTGCAGAGATGACCCATCAGACCTGCTTTTAGAAAAGACCGTGCTGGCTGCGGTGTGGTCAGATGACAGAGGTCAGGGTGACTGTACATAGATCATTTGGGAGCTGACTGCAGTGCACCAGGCCTTCTCCCTAGAGATTTTCACAGGTTCGCTCTACTCTTCCCAGCTCTGCAAGAATATATTTGCAAGCCGCTGTGTCTATTGTAATGTTTTGTAATGGTTTTAAATATATTTTTGACAGTTTAAAAGGAAAAAAATGACTTTGTAGTATTTTCATTTTTTATATGCCAAATTTCAGCTGCTGTATTATGATTTAAATAGCCTTTTGTAGTCAAGCCTGGGAATCGAGTTTGAAACCTAGAGTGATTTAACACTGGTGTCCAGATTCCTTCTGTGTATTTCTTTTATGCTACCATAGAATCTTGACTATTTTATAGCAGTTCTGTGCAGTAAAAACACTTGTGCTGCAAATTCGAGACACATATGAAATTTTCAATTTCTTAGTGTACACATTAAAAAGGTAAAAAGGAAATGGTAAGATTAATTTTAATAATATATTTTATTAAACCCAGTATATCTAAAGTGTTATTTCAGCATGGAATCAATATGAAATCTTTAATGAAATACTTGACATTCTTTTTTGTCATGAAGTCCTACAAGTCCAGTAGGTACTTCTTAGAGCCGTGTTTCAGGACTAGTGGCTGCTGATCACACAGTTCAGCTCTACAGGTTTCTGGGTTAATAAGAATAGTTTTTTTTAAGTTATTGAATTTATAGAAATAGGAACCCATGCAGGCCTGAGTTTAATAAACCTTTGGAACAGAGTTGGTTGCTCTTGTTATAAGGAAAGGTATGGAGTCTAGATGTCTCAGAGGTGTTCGTGAAATGAAGTTTTTAGACATTTTGAAAGGGTTAAGTTAGCAGTCATCACTAGTGGTTTTTGAGGACTTTCAGGGATAAAATGTAGGAGCTATGTTGGAACTTGCTGATTGAGGGCCTAGGACACAGACAGTTTTATTTTAGAGCGATTTCTCAGTGCTCTATAGCCTCTAGCGAATTAACGCTCATTGACGTATGTTATCACATGTATTAAGCGCTTCTAGTGTGACCGTCGTGTAAAGAAGTGAAGAATAGAATGTCTGTGTCCTTTGCAAAATCTTAGCATATGTGCTTTGCTAATCAAAATTAAAATGACTCTTGAACTATTAATCCTTATTTTCTTTTAAAAGCCTTTTAGTTATTTACTCAAGAGCCACAATATTGAATTTGATCACCTCTATGGATACTGCAGAGTTCTTAGCATAAACAGTTATTTTCATACTATTCTATTTTAACATTTACATTAAAATAAAACTCTTGGTTTTTTTTGTTTTTTTTTTTTTTTTGCGGTACGCGGGCCTCTCACTGTTGAGGCCTCTCCCGTTGCGGAACACAGGCTCTGGACGTGCAGGCCCAGTGGCCATGGCCCACGGGCCCAGCTGCTCCGCAGCATGTGGGATCCTCCCAGACCAGGGCATGAACCTGTGTCCCCTGCATTGGCAGGCGGACTCTCAACCACTGCGTCACCAGGGAAGCCCAAAACTCTTGTGTTAATTAGTATATTCTAACAAGTCTCAGTATAATAGGCTGTCTTTGGTAGAGGTAATCATAAAACATTAATAAAATTGCAAAGTGGTAAATACTTAATGTTTTCTTTGTAACTTAGGTGCTAGGTTTTGGTTATTCTCCCAAGACCAGATTAACACTGCTGTAGAGAGGATTTGTTTATTGAAGACTGAATTCATTTCTCTTTTTTCACCTGGTTGATTGAGAAAACAGTCTGGCATTTTGACCACTATTATCCGTATATTACATTCCATTCACTGTGCCAGATGCTGAGACTAGAGCTCTCAAGCTTCACCTTCTCTCAGGTGGTCTTTAAGTTAGGGAATTTATATAGTATACCTTTTAAAAGTAGTTATCAGTATTTTATTTTTCTAAAAAGTGTAAAAGCTTTACAAATAATTTTTAATCGTTGCAGCTCTTTGAGGTTGTTTTTCCATGTGCCGAAGGAACATTTACTGAGGACAAGAGATTATCTTAAACCCCTTCAAATCTTCAGTGCTAGAATTCAGCACTCGAATTGGAGTGCGCGTCACTCCATTCATCCTTTACTTTCTATGTGTACTCATCATGACAAAGCTAAGAAGTCTTGCTTCACCAGGCTTACTGGGTGGACCGCTCCTAAGGCTTCACCTTTCAAGTCCCACACACGAACCTCTCAAGCCTGTTGCTGGTGTCTAGCTCACTAATGTTGAACTGTCATTTGGGTGTTGAGTAAGTAGGTAGGTGCATTTAAAACATCAAACTATTTAGGAGTTACATTGTTTTTAAAGTATGGAGTAAGAACAGTGAAACGTGTGCTTACTTGTTATCTGCTGGGAAAAAATAGAAATCGTGACCTATTATCATACTTTTCATGGCTGATATTTGATCATGGGCTCTGAAGGTTTAAATTTTAAAATGGGGACTTCCCTGGTGGCGCAGTGGTTACGAATCTGCCTGCCAGTGCAGGGGACATGGGTTCGAGCCCTGGTCCAGGAGGATCCCACATTCCGCGGTGCAGCTAAGCCCGTGAGCCACAACTGCTGAGCCCGTGCGCCACAACTACTGAAGCCTGCGCGCCTAGAGCCCATGCTCTGCAACAAGAGAAGCCACCGCAATTAGAAGCCCGTGCACCGCAACGAAGAGTAGCCCCCGTTCACCGCAACTAGAGAAAGCGTGCGTGCAGCAACTAAGACCCTACGCAGCCAAAAATAAATAAATAAATTTTAAAATGATGAAAGGAGAATGAAATTTTAAAAATGTTTAAATGACAGTATTTTAAAATTAGTATTTGCATCTGGTAAGGTATTCAAAAGGGACATACAGTTTCCCTCTCAGACCTGGTACTTCAGTCACTGTTCCTTTTCCCTGTGGGCAGCTTTCTTGGACCTCCCTCCGGAGATGGTCTGTACATACACAACCAGTTGTGTACTGTATTTCACCCTCTACCACAGCCCCCCTTTTTCGGGGGACCCCCCACATATATTGTAGTGTACTATAAACCCTTCTCTGTGCTTTGTCTTTTAACTTAACAGTTGATTTGGAGATTGTTTTATACCACTACCTGAAGAAATTCTTCATTCCTTTTTACAGCTTCTTGGTGAGAATAGAATTATTAAATGATCCCCAAAGACTTAACACAATAGAGTTAGCTATTGTTACAGTGAATGAAGTTAGTATATATATTTTTTTAATACAGAGATCAGAAGTTTCCTTCAACTTATTAAAGTAGATGATTTTTATTTTTATTTTATTTTTATTTTTTTTCCATTTTCGGGCCTCTCACTGTCGTGGCCTCTCCCATCGCAGAGCACAGGCTCCGGACACGCAGGCTTAGCGGCCATGGCTCACGGGCCCAGCCGCTCCACGGGATGTGGGATCTTCCTGGACCCGGGCACAAACCCGTGTACCCTGCATCGGCAGGCGGACTCTCAACCACTGCGCCACCAGGGAAGCCCTAAGTAGATGATTTTTATTATATGTTGGGAAAATGTTAAAGCCATTTTTCCCCCTTTGTTTTTTCAGATAAGCAGACAGCTAAATGGAGTCTGAGCAGCTGTTTCATAGAGGCTACTATAGAAACAGCTACAACAGTATAACAAGTGCAAGTAGTGACGAGGAGCTTTTAGACGGAGCAGGTGTGATTATGGACTTTCAGACTTCTGAAGATGACAACTTGTTAGATGGTGACACGGCAGTTGGTAAGTTTGGCATTACAACTCTTAGTATTTATGGTCATGAATGTCTGATAATAAATATATACATTGTTTTATTGAGGTCAAATTTTGGGGTTACTTTTCTTTTTAACTGTGGTATTTCATGTAACATAAACTTAACCATTTTAAGAGTGTACAGTTCAGTGGCATTTAGTACCTTTACAGTGTTATGCAGCTACCATTTGTGTCTAGTTTCCATTACCCCAAAAGAAAGCCTTGTATATGGGTACACTTTAAAATTTTAGTATACATATTACAGAGAGGTATACAGCTGTAATTGGAGCTGTCAGAAGAACAGAACTGATGGGATAGAGAGAGAGAGAGGCATGTAGAAAGAGATTTATTATGAAAGATTGGCTCATGTGATTGTGAAGGCTAAGTCCCACCGTCTGCCATCTGCAAACTGGGGACCCGGAAGAGCTGGTGGTGTAGTTCCAGTCCAGACCCAAAGGCCTGAGAACGAGGGCAGCCAGTGGTGTAATCCATGTCTGAGTGCGAAGGCCCAGACCCAGGAGTGCTGATGCCCCAGGGCAGGAGAAAGATATCCCAAATCAAGCAGAGAGCAAAGTTTTTAGTCTACCGATTCAAATGCTTATCTCTTCTGGAAAGACCCTCACGGACACACCCGGAAATGATGTTCTGCCAGCTATCTGGGCATCCTGAGGTCCAGTCAAGTTGACACATAAAATTAACCATCACAACAATCATCATATCACAAGCGTGGAAAGTAATGAATTTCTACAAAGTGAACACACTTATATACCTCAATCAAGAAACAAAACATGACTGGTTCCCCAGAATCCTCCCTTGTCCCTGCTTCCAGTTTCAGAGGTAACTATTATTTTGATTTCTATCACCACAGACTACTTTTGCAGGTATTTAAACTTTATATAAATGAATTTGTACTATATATACTCCTTTGAGTCTGGTGTCATTTACTTATGTCTTGATTCATCTGTTTTGTTTATATAGCAGTAGTTAAATTTATTTTCATTGCCATGTAGTATGCTATTGTGTGAGTATGCTGCAATTTATTCTATCCATCATATATTTTTAAAGGGTATTTAGATTTTTTAATTAAAATATATTTTTTTAGATTTTGGCTATTAATAATGGTGCTGAGAATTTTCATATACATATATTTTAGTGCGTATCATGTACACAATTCTGTAGGATTTATACCTCAGAATCACATCTTAGATGACAGGGTGTGTGGGTCTCAGTGCGACTAGATACTGTTAAAGATAGTTCCAAAGTGGTTGTCACCTGTACATTCTGTCAGCAGTGTGTGAGTTTTGGTTGCTTCACACCTTCACCAATACTTGATGTTATCAGTTTTTAAAATTTTAGCTATTCTAATTGTGGGTGCGGTAATCTCATATTTTGGTTTTAATTTACATTTGCCTAATGACCTGTGAGTTTAAATGCCTTTGGTATGTTGATTGGCTTTTTAGATAGCTTCTTTTGAAGTGCCTGTTCAATCTTTTTGCCTATTTTATAAGAGTTCTTTATGCATTCTGATTGAGTCCTTTGTTAGGTTTATGTATTTCAAATGTCTTCTCTTGCTCTGTGGTATGCCTTTTCACTCTTAATGGAATCTTCCTCCCGTTGCGGAGCACAGGCTCCGGACGCGCAGCCTCAGCGGCCATGGCTCACGGGCCCAGCCGCTCCGTGGCATGTGGGATCTTCCCAGACCGGGGCATGAACCCGTGTCCCCTGCATCGGCAGGTGGACTCTCAACCACTGCGCCACCAGGGAAGCCCCTTAATGGAATCTTTTGATGAAGGTGTCATCAATTTTAATGAAAACCAGTTAATCTTTTCCTTTATTTTTTATACTTTTTGTGTTCTGTTTAAGATAACTTCCCATACCTCAAGGTCAAGAAGATATTCTCTCGTTTCCTCCTAGAAGTTTTATTTTTTGTGTCTTTCACATTTAGATTTATAATCTACCTGCAATTAATTTTTATATGTCATGTGAGTTAAGTGTTCAGATTCATTTTTTTCCCATATGGATAACTAGTTGGCCCATATATTAAAAAAAACCTTACATTCTCCAGTGTACTGCACTGACATCTTTTGTCATCTGTCAAGTGGATGTATTTCTGTAGGTCTGTTTCTTGACTTTTTACTTGGTTACATTGAAATATTTGGCTATCTTTGTACCAAACCCCAGCATATATATGAGTTTTTTTTCACATTGGTTTTATGTAAATGTAGTCCATTTACATTTAATGTAACCACTGATATATTTAAGTTCACATCTGCTATATTTATGTTCTGTTTGTCACAGCTGATTTTTTTTCCTTTCTTTCTCTTCCCCCCAGTACCCTGTTAGTTATGCATTCTCTTTTTTTTTTTTTTTTTTTTTTTTTGTGGTACACGGGCCTCTCACTGTTGTGGCCTCTCCCATTGCGGAGCACAGGCTCTGGACGCGCAGGCTCAGTGGCCATGGCTAACGGGCCCAGCCGCTCCGCAGCATGTGGGATCTTCCTGGACCGGGGCACGAACCCGTGTCCCCTGCATCAGCAGGCGGATGCTCAACCACTGCGCCACCAGGGAAGCCCTATGCATTCTCTTATATTGTTTGGTGGGTTACTCTAGAGATTATAACATGCACTCATATTAATTCTACTATAAATTACTCCTTTTACCACTTTATGGGAAATGTAAGGGCCTTACGATACTTTACCTCTTTTTATCCCCCCTCCTGCTTTTTGTGCCATTGTTGTTCTCTCTGTTAATTCTTTATATATTTTAAACTGCATGAGACATTATTATTGTCATCTTATGTCAATGCCTATTTAGATTTTGTGGCTTTAGTTTTTCCATTGCTCTTCATTCTATCCTGCATTTTCATGTTTCTGTCTGGGATAGTTATCTTTCTGTCTGAAGAACTCTCATTAGTATTTCTTTTAATTATAATCTACTAGCAATAAATTCACACAGTTGCAAGCCTTTGTTTCACCTTTGTTTTTGAAGGATATTTTTGCAGCTGTTTTCCAGATCTACAGTTATCTTCTTTGAACACTTTAAAGATGTAATTTTGGTGTCATTTGCCTTCTGCTGAGAAGTCAGCTCTCAGTTCTATTTTCCCCTACCCTGGCTTCTTTTAAGGCTTTTTTCTTTGTCTTTGGTTTTTCAGAAGCTTAGCCGTAGTGTGCCTAACTGGTTTTCTTTGTATTTATTCTGGCTGGGGTTACTAGAACTCCTGAATTGTGACTTGATTGATTGATTGATTTTTTATTTCATCTTTGGATAATTTTGGCCAGTGTGTCCTCAAATACTGTTTCTGCCATCTCCCGTGCTCCCCCACCCCCACCCGCCCCCGCTTTTAGGACTCCAAGCACATGTGTTACATCTTTTCACTGAGATCCTTGTGTCTCTTATGCACTTTTCTGTATTTTCCTTTTTTCATTTGGATATTTCAACTCATTAGGGTAAATACCAAGGAACATGATAGCTGGATCAAATACTGTGTTTAGTTTTGTGAGAAACTGCCAAACTGTTTTCCAAAGTGGCTATGCCATTTTGCATTCCCACTGGCAATGAATGAGCGTTCCAGTGCTCCACATCCTCGTCAGCATTTGGTGTTGTCAGTGCTCTGGATTTGTTGCATGTGTAGTGCTATCTCATTGTTTTCTATCAAGTTTTGAATTTCAGTTATTCATCAGTCATAAAATTTCCATTTGATTATTTTTTTTCTTTATTTTTTTGGCTGCATCGGGTCTTAGTTGGGGCATGCAGGGTCTTCGTTGAGGCACGCAGGATCTTTTGTTGTGGTGCGGGCTCTTCGTTGTGGCGCATGGGCTTCTCTCTAGCTGTGGTGCGCAGGCTTCTCTCTAGTTGTGGTGCGCAGGCTCCAGGGTGCGTGGGTTCTGTAGTTTGCGGCACACAGGCTCTCTTGTTGAGGCATGCAAGCTCAGTAGTTGTGGCACGTGGGCTTAGTTGCCCCATGGCATGTGGTATCTTAGCTCCCTGGCCAGGGATTGAGCCCGCGTCCCCTGCATTGGAAGGCAGATTCTTTGACGCTGGACCACCAAGGAAGTCCCTCCATTTGATTATTTTTAAGTAGCCTTCTGTATTCTGGGAGAAACTCTGTGTTTGTGTGTGTGTGTGTTTTTCCATATTAATCACTTGTTTAAAGGCTGTGTCTGAGTCTTCTAATGTATGGATCACCTGTGGGTCTGTATCTTTTGCCTCTTTTCCTCTTGGTTTTCAGTCTTTTGGCCCTGACTGTGGATGGATGGGCTTTGTAATTTTTTTACAGAATGCTGGACATTGTATACAAATAATTATAGATGCTCTGGATGATATTTTCACCATAGTGTATTTAGTTTTTTTTTGGCAGGCAGGTAATCTAGGATCCAATACAATGATCCCATCAAAGATGGAGAGAATTTTCAGCCTGGTTTCAGACTTTCTGAGGGTTAGTCTATTTTGGGCTGACTTTATTTTTAGGGCACAGCCCCTTGAGGATTTTAGTAGAAAGCCTACTAAAGTGTGTTTATGAAGACTTTCTCTCTTTTGGGCCCTTAAATTCAGTTTCTGTCTCTCTGGCATTTTGAAACTGATGACAGCTCTGCTTATCATTTTAGTCTCTTGACCACTGCCGTGTGCTTGGTTTCTCAGCCTCTTGCTCCTGAAGTTTAGGAATTGTAGATATTTTTAAGGAAAAGCATCATGGCATGAACTGTTCTCTTTTCTCCAGGATATTGGCCCGTTCAAGTCCACTTGCCTTGGTGGTTTTGTCTCCGTGGCCCCGTGAGACTGGCGAAAGCTCCTAGCTGGGCCTCTCAGTCACGGTGCTGCTCTGAACCAGGAAACGACTCAGGGCAAATGGTGACCAAGGCTGTTGGGTTTACCTGTTTCACTTCTTCTCTCAATGTTGGCACTTCAGGTTCTCATGCCTTGTATCTTCTCCGGCTATTTTGTTAAATGTTCTTTGATTTAAAAACAGCAGCAGCAGCAGTATTTTGCTGTTAT